GGGGGAAATGGCGTTAAGGGTGAACGGGGGAGGGGGTTGTCCCGCGGCACTGCATCCAGCTCTGGGTTTGGAAGGGTTGGAGTCCTTGGGAATGGGCAGTCTCACAACGTCCTCTGTGGGCTGTGCCGAGGGCTGGCCACCCAGTCTGGCCCCGGTGTGGTGAAGCTGGGAGTGGGGTGATGCTCATTCCCCATGTGCTGCTCCACGCTGGTGCTGCTCCTCCATCCTTCTCCAGCTGGTGCCCAAAATCGGTGCCAAAGCCCCCCCGGGGAGCTCCAGTGTTGCCAAGCCCAGCTGGTGCCCCCCAAAAGCAGGCAGAGGGGTGTCAGGTGATGCCCCCTCATCCGGTTCTGTCTCAGCAGCCTCCTGCTGCATCTGCTCCCAATAATGGGACAAACCCCAGCCCTTCCTGGGGGCTCCCCCCCCTACACTGGGGGATGTGCCCCCAAATCCAGAGGGAAGCAGCAAAAACCTTGCAGGAGCCCAGGAAGCAAAAATCCCCAAATCCCAGGGATTTCTGGAAGAGCACAACCTGCCTTGGGCCTCAGCCCAGAAAGCAAAAAATCCCAAATCCCAGGGATTTCTGGAAGAGCACAACCCGCCTTGGTTGCAGCCCAGCTCTTGTCACCTCTGGGAAGCCCCCGGGGTTGGCACCCCCTCTGTGCCATGCAGACTGAGCTGGGGCCACCCCATGAAGGCTGGGGCACCCCAACCCCCCCCCCGGGGTGTTATTCCTTCCCCTCTCCTCCCAGAGCTGGGAAACAGGGCAGGGCAGGGCAGTACTCACCACAGAGGCGAGAGCTCCTTTCCTCTGGGACCGAGCCCCGCTGTGCCGTGGGTATAAATACCAGCGAGCCCCAGGAACCTCAGAGGCGGATCCTCTCTAAACAAAGACCCTAAATAGGCTCAGTGATGGTGTGTTGGCCATATGGCCATATAAGGTGTTTTATTTCATTAAATTGACCTCGGGCTGGTGGTAGGACCCAGCAGTTTAATTATTGTAGGAAAAATGTATGTGGGGATGCTTTGGGAGGCAACGGCCCAGTTGTGAGTCTGTTCCTTTTATGCTCCGCTCCGATAAACAAGTGAGACACAAGTCCTTATAAGTGACAGGCTCGGAAAAGGGAGGTGGAAGTAACTCCAGTCCCTGGGGAGAGCATGGAGAAACCCCACCCGGGGGGAGGTGGGTGTGGGGGCTCCACCGTGGGGACACCCCGGAGCTGGGGTGGGAATTTGGCACTGCTGGGAAGGCCCTGGGTCAGTGCATCGCCTCCTCCCGGCCTCAGCTCCCCGGGATCTCTGGAATTCTGCGCTTTGGAGATGCCTCTCCTTGTGGTTTTCTCTCTCTCCACCCCCATTTTTGGGCTTTTGGTGTCCCAAAGCCCCTCAATTCCCCAAATCCTCAGCCTGAGCCAGGCCAGGAGCTGTGAGTCCAAATCCCAGCCCCACACTGTGGGTGCCCCCGGGAGGATCTGGGAGGTGGGATGAGCCTGGAGCTCCACGGGGCTCTGTGGGTGTTGGCCCCTGGSCCCCCTGCCTGGACACGGCCCGGGGGGGCTGCAGCCACCCCAGCCCTTGGCAGTGGGAGTGGAGCC